ATGTTGGACGATTAGCTCTGGATCATCATAAGCAGAACTCTATCTCATACTAAAGGTACTGGATGAAGCTCCATCACTCCAGAGAATGCAATTTCACAGCCCAAAGATGGGGGGCTTTATGCTACATTAGCTGCAACTTGGCACTGGGCATGGTGACCTTAGGCTCCTGTGTGGCTGCTTCAGGGCATCCCATTCTACTAGCAATGCTTTTCTATTGAATTTATACAAGCTTGTATCAGCAACTGGCAAACCTTAAAGCAGCTGAAGTCACAAATTAGAGGGCTTGCCTGGACACTTTTGGACATATCGCGAGTGGATGCAGCTTCTGTAGCATATGGTCAGACAATAATTCCGATGTACTTATTAAGGATAAAAAGCTGCTGAGTCAATCACATTTATAATAGATGTGAACGGGCAGGTGCTTCAGTTTTTCTGTTCTTTTATTAAATATGTAGAAAACATGTTGAAATTACTATCTGTGCTAAACTACACTACAGATCAGAAGTTGAAAAACAAGTATTGTAAGTGCAAGTGGTCTACATACTCTCTAGGAACTCAATGTGTAGCTCCTCTTTGTTGATAGAGACAGCATTGAAGCCCTGGGTGGGCGTGACGTCCTGCTCCAGGCTACCCGTCGCAAAGCAGTGGAGAAGGCTGGTCTTCCCGGCACCCTCCAGACCCAACACCAGCACCTGAGTACCCTTCTCCTGTGGCTGCAACAAACATAAACACAGAGAACATAATTAAAAAGGTTGGGCAGCAACGTGACTGTAGAAGGAGGACAACTGGGGAAAGCACATAATGAAAAGTGATGTGTTGACAGCAATGTTGAGGCAACACCATGCTGTTTGACGGCCTTACTTAGCTAAATAAAGACACGGTCACAGCATGGGGTGAGCCAAAGTAAGCCCAAACACAAACAATGTGGACAGTAAAAGCAGCTATAACCCTAATTAAGGCAATTAAAACTTCACTGAACTAACTAAAGCATCTATAACTCTATCTAATGCACCTATAACATCACTAAACTGATAAATAGAGCAGCTATAACACTAACTAAAGTAACTACATTTCACTAACTAAAGCAACTATAGCTTCACTAAAACAGAGCACTTACAACCCTAACTAAAGCAACTTTAACTTAACTAGCTAAGGGAGCCATAACTTGAAAGGGCAATTCCACCAATTTTTCAGAATTTCTTAATAATTCAGTCGTTGAGATATAAACAGTCATTCAGAGTGGTTCGATGAGAATCGGTGCACTGTAGAGAAACTTACAGACTCTGATTTCTTTACCGTGGTGGTCATAGGACCAGGGGTCTCTATGTCTACAACACAAAAATAGCCAATATTTATAACATTTTATTTACTATCCAAAACCACCAGTGAACCTACACCTGTCATCTGAGCTCTTATATGCCATGTTGATGGTAAAATAGTGGTCAATCTGGAAAAATGAGTTTTCTTTGGGGACTATTTTGCCTTACAACGCCCTGCATGTAACCCTCCGCCGTAAATGGATTAAAACACATAACCATCTCATTTAATAACTTTCTGTGAGGGAGCATTTAGAGGTGGACGCCTGGTTCCCATCACCACCACTGTGAACAATTCTGACTCGTCAAGTTTCTCTAGAACAAAACATTTTACCCCACTCTGAATGACTCTGTTTACATCTCAGCCATTTAATTATGCAGAGATTTTGAAAAATAGGTGGAGTTCCCCTTTGGTTAAAGCAACTAAGTTAGAGCTACACTTGATTACCTAGCTAAAGCAGCCATAACCTTAGCTAAAGCAACTATATATGAGTAACTAAAGCAGTTATAACCCTAAGTAAAGCAACTATAGCTTCACTAAACTAACATTAACCCAAACTAAAGGGACTAAAGTAGTTTTAAACCTATTAAAAGCAGTTACAACACGAACTAAAGCACCTACAATCCTAAAGCAGCTACAGCTCTAAATAAGGCAGCTAGCCTGTCACCTCAGTAAAGACTAAACCGAGTCTAACCCTAAGTCACCTCAGTAACTAAATCATCTACAAACCTCACTAAAGCACTAATAACCTCACCAAAGCGACCAAAACAGGCTGTAACCCAACCTAAAGCAGCTATAAGGGGGTTATGAAGACATATCCTAATGTGTTCAGGTGACTTCAGGGAAGGACGGTTACTGGTCGTTAAACTGGGGAACTAAACAAACCTCGGACACTGTTGGAGCTTGTTTGGCGCTTTCGGTCCTGATTTCTTTCCCGGTGGTTTTTGCGTGATTCTCGGTGTTTAAAAGCCGGGTTACTCTCTTCGGCTGGTGTTTTTTCTTGGTCTGTACGAAACTCCACAGGATAAAGGCGAATCCTCCGGCCACGGCGAGAGCGGCGCCCACCAAACCAGCTTCTCGCAGACCGGGCATGTTTTCTGGTCGAGGACTTCCGTCTCCAGAAATAAATATATTATTCTGCGTCTCTCAAACACTCACGGCCATAGCGAGGCGCTGAAATAGATACAGAGACTCCACAAGTGGATTACAAACCCGACACGTTTTCCGGTGCTGCACCGAAATCTGTTACCCTCCGAAAGCTGGTTCCAGCAGAGGGCGCTGTGAGGAGAGCGCGGCCAGCAGCGCGGACTCTCACTGAGTGCTGCACCGATTTTAGCACCGATTCGATACCAAACGATACTGAGGCTCGATATCGATAATGTTAAAAGTCATAACGCAGGAGGAAAATACGGAACCTCAATCCTTCCAAGTACAGGAGAAAAAGTGCCTATTGTTTTTCTTTGTTTCTTTGTCTGGCAGTATTATATCAACATATTGACTTAGTATTTCAAAATAATTATTTCCTTTCTCAAAATATTGACTTTTTAAGGTGAAATTATAATGCATTTTCTCGGGATATTGACTTCACTGCCTAAAGAAATACAATTGGAACCTGTTGGTTTTGCTTTCTAATGGGAATTGGCATAATGAATATTATTAGAGACCACTAGTTTCCTGTAGAACAACTTTAAATCCCATTAGGACACCATCAAATGCTGGAATCAATCCTAGAACAACCCATCAGGAACTTTTAATGGCAGGGTTAGTATCTCGAAATAATGACTTTTCTCAAAATATTGACAATATTATATATTGTATAAATAATATTGACAATATTACTTATACATTTATAAGTATTAAATTACCAACTGATACCCAGACTAGCAACTATAGCAATATATTTTAGTCTTTTCATGAACATTAAGAGAAACGTATTATTTCTACACTGAAAATGCATACATCAAAGATATTCTTAAGTATTTGCATTGGTCTCTTCTGAGAGAGAATGTAAATGTGGTTAAATGACTAGTCCTGTTTTAGCGTGTTTACAGTAAACGCTTCAGTCTTCAAATAATGACTGATTTTCTTAAAAAAATATATAAAATGACTTTTTTTTTTTTAGTAACTCAAAGACCTATATTGTCAAGTTTTGGAGATACTATGTTTAAATAAATGGCTATTAAATTTCTAAAAAAGTAAGTAATCATTTGAGGATAAATCCTTGGATTCTAACTCATTATTTTGACATATTAGATTATTTTAACATAGTAAGCCAATATTTTGACAAAATATCAAAAGTCAACAGTAAGTCAATATCTATAAAGAATAAGTCACTATTTTGATATATAAAGTTGAATATTTCTATTGTCTACCTTATTTCTTACATCCAGAATAAAAAAATGGAAGTAATTTAATAAATATAAACAAAGGCTTAAAACACTTCAAGGTAACTTCAAAGTGAAGCTATATGAAACAAGACAATTGATGTTTATTATGATGTGGGTTTAAACAAATTATGTATGGATCATCATACCATACCATTTAAAATACTTACTAAAAATACTAAAAAAAATGTTTTCCTGTAATATTTGATCGATTTTTTTAGGAGTTTAAAACCAAATCATCTGAAAGTTACCAAATGATACCAACGCTATTGATCATTTTATAGGTCTCACAACTACAACCCATAACTAAAACAGCTATGAAAGTAACCACAGTAGGGGCAGTAACACTGCTTTTTGCATTAATCCAGTACTTAGTTTACACATCAAACTTACATACATACATTATAGGTGATGCTAAGTTTACTTTGAACTGTATAAATTTAAATTTAAAGTATTAAATTACCAACTGATACCCAGACTAGCAACTACAGCAAGTCTTCTCATGAACATTAAAAAAATAATTTTTACACTGAAAATGCATACCTCAAAGATATTCTGAAGTATTTGCATTGGACATCTGTAATATTTATGGATTTATTTCTGTGACGGGCTGCACCCATTATTGGTAACGTCTTCTGAGAGAGAATGTAGATGTGGTTTAATGACTGGTCCTGTTTTAGCATGTTTACAGTAAACGCTTCCGTCAGATTGTGAAACTGGACACCTAAACCTGTGCTTAAACCTGACAGCCTGGACAACAAAAATGAAAAACATCCACAAACAAGAGACACAGATCATACAGTAATTCTCAAGGAAAATCTATTTATTAAGACTTTACATTGGGATTATACTTCAGTATTTCCACTTTCAGCATCCCTTACAATGGGAAACAGCTGAAGGAGACGCCTTTCTGGAAATTACAGTTACAAGTGAGCTTGATCCAGGAGTTCAAAAAATAAATAGAATTTTAATTTTGCATAAACAGCCTCTTTTCTTTTTGGTTGACACAAAGTAGCTGTTTTCTGTCAAACATACACATTTACTAGGCAATGATAATCAGTGAATTAATGGTCAGATTGGGGAAAAAAAAAATGCGGAAAAAAGCAAATGTTCCCTGCACAACAGGTAGATATTTTTATGTATTTATGCAAAAAATGCTTGAAACTGAAAATGCTGATGTTTTTGATTGCTCGCTTGATATTTTGCTGAATTAAGGAAAAATTAGGAACTTTAAATAATTAACATGTGCACTCATAGCTGTATACAATGTATTTGATGGTAAAAATGACTTCTTTATGCAAAATAAAACAAACAAACAAAAAAAAAAACTAAACAAAAACTCTCCCTGGGTCAGTTTCTGTTTATTCTACATCTGTCTCTTCTTGTGTGTCCATTCCACAATCATTCCCTTTTCCCTTCCCCTGATCTCTCCTTGCATATTTTGAATGACTGGATGTGTTGTTTTATAGGAGGCTCTTCATCCAGCCCATGAGGGAGTGACGAAGGATCACTGTCATCATAACTCCGTTTATCCAGTGCTTTAAAAATCTCCATGGAGGGCCACATAAGGAAGGGGCTGGGAATGACTGGGACTCTCCCGTCAACCACTCTACCATCCTCCTTTTCCGCCCTTTTTCTTTTTCTGTGGGGCTTTTTTGCGTGTTGCTCCGGAAGCCGCAGGTTTCTGTTGCCTTGGTGGAATCACGTTGGAGGCAGAGCCTGTGCCAGAGCCCGGCCGTGGGGAGGTGGGGGGACTGCTGGCCGTCTTGCTGGCATCTCTGGGTCACAGAGAAACAGCAGGGAAACAAAGTGAGACAGTGCGTGCGGGCTATTAAAGGCACACAAGGAGTCAATTAACACTCAAATAAATTAAAATCTTACATCAATATACACCGATCAGGCATAACATTATGATCACCTCCTTGTTTCTATGCTCATTGTCCATTTTATTTGTTCAGCTCCACTTACTATATAGGTGCACTCTGTAGCTCTACAATTACAGACTGTAGTCCATCTGTTTCTCTGCATACTTTGTTAGCCCCCTTTTCTTCAGTGGTCAGGACCCCCATGGACCCTCACAGAGCAGGTACTATTTGAGTGGTGGATCATTCTCAGCACTCCAGCAGCACTGCTGTGTCTGATCCGCTTGTACCCGCACAACACACACTGACACACCACCACCGCCACATCAGTGTTACTGCACTGCTGAGAATGATATGTTATGCCTGATCGGTGTACATATGGATTATATTGAACCTTATGTGCCTACACTTTTTACAGTCCCCTTTTTTGGGTACTAAAGACAATCTCACTATACTATCTCCTTAGTAAACGTAATCAGATTTATTCCAAGTCAGGTCTATGCTACATTGGTAAACTACTGGAAAAGTCAATCAGGTATTCCTGAACAAATGATTTGATTTGAGCTGATTGAGATTTAAGTTAATTTGAGATTTCAGAACCTCATTTGAGTTCTACTCTTCTTCAAATAAATAAAAAAAAAAATTAGAAATAAATTATTATATAGTATATCTATTAAAACTCTAGAATTATAAGCGCTCTCTTGAGCTTTTATTGTGTCCGAGTTTTGTCTCCACCTGGTGGCGGCTGCATATAAACTCACAATTCTGCTGTAGCTCCTGACGTTGCTCCCTGAGTTCCTCGGCCCACCTGCTCCTTCTTTTTGCCCTTCTTTCTGCCACGATAGTATGATCGCTCCCTCATTGGCAGCCAGCGCTCAGGATCAGGGGTTGACTTAGGGTCACAGTTCTTGGGCAGTTTACCTGAGAAAGCAGGTGTTAGATCACTTACCTGAATGCTAACTTTTCACAATAAATAAAAACAGAGGACTGAAAATATACAAACATACCTTTCTTCTTTTTCTTCTTCTTCTTAATTTCCCCTTGGCTAAGAAAAAGAAATATGCACATAAAATGATTAATTGAACGAAATAATACAATAGAAGTACCAAAACAAACCACTTAATTATTTACATAGAATGTACAGAAGCAATATTATTTAGTATATTGTAAACCACTGACCTCACTAACTTAGGAAACACCCGAACGCAATGTTAAATTTCTAACTTCACTATTTTCATTTGATTCGATTATTTTGGAAGATTTCAGAGTTTTTAAAAAAAAAAACAAACCAAACACAACACAGTGAATACACTGGTGGAACTATTTACAGTGGAAAATAGACAATTCAAGCAATTCAACTAAGCACTCAACAATACACATCCAGTTTTTTTTGGAAAAAAGTCCAATAATTTTATTTTACCCAAAATGAGAGGGCATAATTTATTGAGTATTATGAGAAGAATCAATTCTTATCTAACATTGCAAAATCAATGGACTTCAATTCACACTTCTATGCACGTCTATTATTTAAAACACCACCAAATTCCCGAAGAGATGTAAACTACGTACCCCTGTTCCTTGGGTGCATTTTCCCCAGTGACTTTGGCAGCTTTCTTCCTGACGTAAGTGGCTCCATGAGAGTTCTCCAGTTCGTCTACGTCTATATTGAAGGACATGGTGTCAGGGGAGGGGAGGTGCTTACTCAGCCTGAGAGAGACAGGAGCTCAGGAAAACCTCAAGTGTACACATTACACACGCCAAATATGCTTTAACTGAGTGTTCAAAATGACCACTTCGACACAGTCCATCACCTAGAGACAGATTTTTCACTTTGCTGGGATTTAACATAGGTAAATTTAACCTGGGTTAACTGATCTTTACACACATGCAAATAACAGGCGCAAGTGCTGTAGACATCCCAAAATAATGGGTAAATGGGGGAAAAATGCTTAGTGTGGTGTTTAGTGGGAATTTCATGATACTCAAACTTCTTATGCATTCTTCCTATCAAGTTATTCCTAAGAATTCTCAAGAAAGAACTAATCAGAGTGTATGCACTGCACAAGGATACGCTTTGGCCTTGTCCTGGTCCACGAGTGAGTAAGCCGAGATGAGCTGCGCGAGTGTGTGCACGTCTTTAGTGTTCTGTTTCCACAGTTGCTCCAAGTCACTGATGGCCTCCTTCTTCCTGCCGTACCGAAGCTTGAAGTCTGCTGCCTCCCGCACCAGAGAGAGGTGAGTCAGAGAGCCAGGCTGTTTCAGAGAAAGACCGCGCACATGAGAGAGAGGGAGAGGTGACAAAGAATAAAACAAATTGGGAAAAAAGAGGCATATCAGATTTTGCTAATAATAAATTAAAACTTTTGAAATGCACTTCAGATAATCAGATAATGCGAAAACTCTAGATGAATCAGACCAATCAGAAGCACCCAAGCACAACCGCAATTGGCATATTAAATTCAGTGTTCATGCCTCAAGCCAGAACAAGTGGATATGCTGGTCTCTTTCTTGACCAGAGAGGTTTGGGTTAAGGATGTGCATAGGTATTCCAGTACTTTGTTAATCGTTTGAAGGGTCAGTGTTTGTATACTGAAATCACCATTTGAGTACGTTTCATCACATGAAGACAAAAAATATACAAGCCAACAACAATTTAGTGAAACATGACGGTTTTACTCATAATTGTAAGTATGTTATGTTACACTTTGCTTCTCCAGAAGTTAAGTGCCTGAACGTGAGTGTGTTGTCAAAGGCGGGTTATTTTGGGCAACACCAGTGCGGTCAACTAAAGGTTTTTCCTTCCCTGAGGTTAACCTGATATTCATTTATAATCCATTTACACATAAATAACAATATTAGTCAGAATGCACTTTGCTAGTTAGGGTGGCTCTCAATGCAACTTACAGCTCAGCATCTCACCTGTTCTGACTGATAATACTGGATGGCTTGGCTGAAGACGTCAATGGCACTATCAAGGTCCTCCTCGTGTGTGTACATGGTCACCAAGGCAGAAACCTGTCACGCACAGACACCCATACAAAATGTTATACATGACTTCACAGAAACGTTCTACTCCGCATGGCTCTTCGTCCATCCTTTATTAGCAGTTATTATTTAATCCAGAGAACAGATCAGACAAACTCTCACCATTCCTTGTTTGTGCTTAAAGTCCTCTATCGACCTCAGAATATCACAGGCTTTAGTCACATGACCTATAATGAGAGATGGATTGGTGTAAACTTCAGAAAGCACTACAAATACTCCCAATGCTTTGCATGTGTATGTACAAGGGCCTGACTGATATGAAACTGATATGGCGACCGTTACCAATAGTAAGGGGCTAAAAAATTCCGCTAAGTGATAATACAGCTGATTAGGGCTGTAAGTGATTAACCATTAACTGATAAACAAAGATTCAACCAACGCTGTGGTTAAAAAATGTTAATTTGATTTAATTTCCAATGCCTACTTGAATAAGCCAGTTTATTACTGACTATTATTATTACTGATTATCTATTATTACTACTGATATTGATTTGTACTCATGAAGCACAACTGATAACTGGCCCCACTAGATAGGCCTACTAAAAAGGAAGTGCAGCTAAAAAACAGTGGCATTTGGGACCTGTTTTTGAGAAAACAGCACAAGAATGTGCCATATCAAAATATTGATTGAATATTTTGTTGCATTAATACAGATCTCAGTTGATGTGTGCATGCCTGCATCTCTAACTAGAAGTATTTTACAATAGCTAATAGATAATTCATATTTTAAAACTGTTGACTAAATATGGTCAAAATTTGCAACCCCGAAAATAATATATTTAAGTTGTAATGAAATATTTCAGTTTAACAGCACTTTACTGAACGATATAACTAATTTCTCCGTCACACTTCTTAACCACAATTATTATAAACGTTGTAGCAAATGCTGGAGCTACCCAGAATTCTTTGCACTTTTTGTTACTGACTGATTCTTCATCAGGTCTCTTAACAGAATTTTTGTGTTATAAGAGGTTATTCCTGTGCTAAAGGTTAGTTTTGGATACATTTTACAAATTTTTGCTATTTTAACCATCAGTGTGTTGTGTTCAGTGAGGCTCTACTGCATGTGTTATGCTCTGACCTTGAGTCAGGTAAAGTTGTGCCATTGTCAATTTGATTCCAGATGCGCTCTCTGGATGCTCTTCTGAAAAACGCTGAAGAAAAAAAACAAAAAAAAAAAAACAAACAAACACACAAGAGAGACATAACAGGTCATTACACCTTTGAATCAGTGTTGTATAATCATCTAATCCTATATGGAAAGTAAACAGAGACAAAACAACCGATGTAGACGTTTTACTGCAAATTTCATGATAAATGGAAAACCAAAGTTACTTGGAAAAAAACGTCTTTAAAGAAACTGCATGAAGAATGTTTTTGCCTAGTACAAGTAAATGGCATAAATAATAAAAAGACATAAAAGGGAACATGCTTTACATTTGCAAAGTTTGTCAAGGGAAGGATGTATGGGATGATAAGCAGGCTTAAGTTTTAAATTTTCTGCTCTTTAAAGTAACAAAAATGAATAAAAGGGCACACGTATGCTTTTTTAAACACAGCAAAGACAGTAAGAGAAAGAAAAACAAAAATCTGTAGTTATACCTGCAGTAGCTCTATAGCCTTGCTGTGCTGTTTCTCTCGGCAGAGTTGGGCGACTTGGATCAGGACGGGTCGAGGGTGACCGGGGTTCTGAGACTGCAGGGTCGATGACAACTTCCTGCACTGGTCAGCCTATCAAATGTTTCACAAACAGTTAAAAATGTGACTAAAGCCAGCAGCACAAAGAAACAATTACACAAAATCGCCATCAATTAATGTCTTTCAAGGATAAACACAAAAGAAAAAAGAACAAAATAAGAAACACAAAACAGAAAGGAAGGCAGTGTATGGTAAATATGGAGTGTTGCTGTAAGTGTGTTCTGTGTGTGAGAGTCTGTGCACACAAAGGGACCTTCTATGACTGTGGTCCTGTGCATGCTTGATATTAAGATCCGTCCCAAGTAACCAAGTAACAAGTGGACATTAAAATGTAAAGCTGCTCACACCTGGTTTTACCACGTCACAAGTGACCATCTAAGATCAGATTTTATGACCGCAGCAAAAGTACCTTGCGTATTTACTACATCAGTCTCTCATTGCATTTGTTGTCATACAAAAACGTGCTGTGAGTCTTTGTTTTCGAGTATATGTAGGGTCTGTTAGAAACATGTAGACTACAGGGATGGCTGATGAATCTAGTAAACAAACTTCAAAAGTGGACAAATACAGAAGCTACACAGCTGCTTCTATCTCTGCTATGATTAGACAGTTAATAAGACGGTCCTTAATCGTTGTTGGGGACGCGTTAGTGTTCACATTACAAGTATCATGTGGTCATAAACAGCCCTTCTGAGGTGGTTTGAGTAACTGAACATCTCTGTAAGGACTTTTGGAACCTTGTGTGCTTGTGTGCATATACCTGATTGGTATACATTGCCAGCAGTGCTTTGTTAAACTCGATGGCTTGCAGCTGCTTCTTGGCCAGTTTGTATTCCACACCTTCTGCGTTCATCAACTTCACCTTCTTCTTGGAGTCAAACACATTTTGGTCCTGCAAGATTACAGACAACAGACATGAGGAATTGCTGCAAACCCACATACGGCTTTAAGCCTATAATTCAACAGCTGAGATGTAATTCTAGTTACCTTGTTGATGGTGATGATATTATTGGCAGTTACAGCCAGAAGGCCCACATCAGATGGCCTGAGTGAGAAATATATATTAGAACAGCCTCAAAAGATCACTTATGGGGTTTTTTCCAAGTGGCGGTGTGGTGTGGTGTGGTATGGTATGGTCATTTCCGTCATTGATTTTAACGTGGTAGGACCTTCACTCCAAGTCTGAAGCGTTTTTCAGTCCTAAACCTTGACAACGGAACCTGACTTTAAAGTCTCATTACAGCACAAAAAATAGAGCAGGCCCCCCTTAAAAATGTATGCAGTGTTGCAGTCCGTCGAACTAGGTGTGAAAGACACCACTATTATACATCTTCATTTTCAAAACTTGATGTGTGTCTGTAAAAAATCGAACTCTGTGTAAATAGGCCTTTAGTCCCTTAGTCAAAGGGTCTGTATGTCCATCTAGCATTTGGACTACAGCAGGACAACAGATATGGCTCATATGTTTTATGTCACTGATCAGCTCTCAAGTTTGGCCATATTAGAGAAATACTGGCCAATCGCATATTTGGGCTGAAAACTGGCCGATACCACTACTTAGAGATCAATCAATCGATTGGCTAGGTTGTTGTCGTCTTATTCACAGTTCATTGGACAGGTCACAAGATCCATTTTTAGGTTAAATTTCTCTACTTAAAACTTAAGACAACATTGTTTACAATATAAGCTATAATTTAAATGGCAGCTTTTTAAAATTGAGCAATTTAAAATTGCAGTTTAAACTGTGATTTCTAAATTTTTACTGATCATCTTTTAGGATTGATGGCAATGAATCATCAGCTAAAATGTAATGACTGTGACAGGAATATGCAAATGTAAAAAGTGCGTGAGTCTGTGTGTGTCCCCATACTTCAGTTTGATGACTTGGTTATAAAGTTGCAGTGCATCCTCTGTTCTGCCTTGGAGCTGCATGATATAAGCCATCTGAGAATGAATCACTGCCAGTTCAGCGTCTATATCCTCCTCCGTCATATCCTGTACAACAAACAGCTCGTTATTAATAAACTAATTACCAATTAAGAAACATTTTTTCTCTGTAGGCCACTCCGTTTTTTAATATAGCTGTAGATACTACTATTTTTATGCATAGTAGCAGTATTTCCTGAGGGAAATGCAAGCATTGGCTTGAGTAGGGATACTCACAGAGTCCTCTGCCAGAGACATCCTACAGAGCTCTGCAATGAGAAAAACAGCCAAGTCACCCACAAACACAGAGAAAACAGCCACCAAGATCAGAACTGAACTAGACTTTTCAAGATTCCAGATTTCTTAAACTGCTGTGAATCGATTTTCTGAATTAACGATTAATATGGTCGTTCTTGGAAAAAACTGCTATTCCCAACATTAAGTCTGAATACATTGTGTCTGACCTTCAGCTTCTTGGAGCTTCTTCAAGGCCTGGCTAAGCTGGCCACGACCAATCAGACTGCAGGCAGCGTTGTAGCAGAGCTCATATGTGCTCTCAGGCAATCCCATGTCCTCCTGCACAAAGATGAAAGATTGAGCAAGCAGAAGACATTGCAAGCAATACTAATTTAAGGATGGATTATTTCCCTGCTGAAATGTTAGAGCAGATGTGGTTAAGCTTGGTACCATTTTATTTTAAAGCTACCTACCTGCCCACCTAGGGACTTCATAATGCATGCATAATCACTGAATTATGTATCATTAAAGCAATCCTTAAAAGGTCTCCTTAATAAAAGTGTACTTTGTCCTTAATCTGAGGTAGAAGTACATTGAACTGATAAATGGTGTTGTTAAAGTTCCTTTGCTTGGGATTGATGCAGTGTGGACCAAATGTCTGTCAGTTCAGTTTAAAGCCTCTTGCGATTACTGGAAAACTGTCACACAAATTTTTTATCTTGGCAAACAGTTACACAAGCAGCGAATGTTTCGGCTAGAATCAACTTAAGTATCTTGCAGTCGGTGGCCAACAGAAGAAGGCCATCATCTTGGTATCACATTCCAAAAATATCACTGTTCCGTAATGAGCAATATCATCTTTACTAGAGAAAGTGTTGTGTTAAATGTCTGTCCAATCCTTTTTATATTCAAAATTGTTGAAAATTAATATAGAGCTATTTTAAAAAGAACACCCTGAATCAGAGGCTGCTTTGTGTGTGTTTTCACTCACAGTTGTAGCGTTCTCCCAGGTACTCCTTGCAGCCAGCACTGCAGCCAGGTTTGTCTTCCTCTCCTCCTCATACTCATCCTGGGAGTTTCTGATCAGGTCTTTGTAAACAGCTTCACACTCATCGTACCGCTCCAACCTGTACAACTGCACAGACAGCAGAAGCAAACGCTATGAGCTCTTCATAAAATAAATGCTGAGACAGCCAGGCAATGCTGAACTGCCCTATATTTTGGCCATTTCCTTAAACTTTTAAGCAAAATATAGTGCTGTGAAAAAGTATTTGGTTTCTTCTAATTGTGCCACATTACACATTAGTGTCACATTACATTGTTTTAGATCTTCAAACTAAACTTAATGTAAGCTAAGTAATCATGAAATGACGTTTTTAAATGACCACTTCATTGATTGAAAAAAAAATTAAAAAAGTCTTTTGCCTTCTTGTTACTCACTCAACCAAATTTAATTGATAATTGGGATAAATTAAACTAGACATAGGTAAACTCAATTACTGCCTGCCCTATTCAGATTTAAACAGAACCTTTCAATAATGTGAAGTAGGCTAAAAGGTCCAACAAGCAGTAGACTATGCCAAGATTTAAAACAAAAAAAATCCTAATGGTAACGTTCCTACCACTTGGCCATAGAGTTCTTTAAGTTTGTCTGTCTGTTCAGAGATTCCTTCAATGGTCTTCAACGCGCTCTCCACTCTATTCAACCGGTACTCACAGTAGGCCTTCTCAAACCCAACCATATCACTACGGGGAGACAAAACATGAAGAGTTAACTGCATATAACTGATTTACAATTTTTTTTTTAAGATGGTGAGATAATAGGACCCTCCTTAACTTTATCATCGGTTTATGGGTACAAGGTACTGCAGTAAAAAAAGCAAAAGAAATAAAACAAGCAAAAGGCAATGCAGTTTTTCTAATTAAAGGCGTTTTGGCTTCAGCCTTTGTCAACTGACCTGATACACTCTTTTTGACGTGTGTGTCGTAAAAAACATTAACTTTTAAAAAAGATAATGAATAAATAATTTTAAAATGGCCCGAACACAAACAGAAAAAAATAATATTTATTTAAAAAATAATAGTTAGATGATTAGCAGATTGAATCATTAATGCTTAAAGAGGTAAAACATTACCCTGAGAAGCAAAGGGAAGCTCAGTGATCCTTATCATTTAGAGCGAGAAAACTAGGCCCATATTCACAAAGCTTCTCAGAGCAGGAGTGCTGATCTAAGATGTTTTTTTTAATCAGGAAAGTCTGAAGCCACAAGTAAACCTATTTTTGTACATTAACAGTATCTTATTATTTTGGGATGCCCCGTCACTTTTTAATAAGAATCAACCAAAGTACACCTGAAATATCCGTATTGTGCAAAATAGTATGAACAAAACTAAACAATGTATAGATAAACCTACATCAACATTCTTTCTGGCAAAAACGGTGATAAACGCTAAATCACATTTGAACTTCTACAAAGCTAAAGTTAGCTTCTTATTCTGCAACTGTTTATTCAAATTTTTCATTTCACCGTAAATGAAGCAGCAGTTACATTCTGGTACCTAGCATTTAAGGTGGAACAGGATTTTTGCCTAACATTTTACATACATATATACATACATACATATACATATATATATATATATATATATATATATGTATATATATATATATATATATTACACACACACACACACACACATACACATATGTATTACAGTCATTCATACCATCAGTAACAGCTGGTCTAAGATTTGTTGGCCTTTCCTTTGTTTTCCTTGTGCTTCATCAAAAACAAACCAGGAAGGCAGCTAACTGAGCTAACGTTAGGATGGTTAGCACCGTTTGTTTGCCTTGTTACCTGTGCTTATTTGTAGCATACCAGTATAACGATTCTGACAAAAAACATCCCTGATGAACAATTACCAGCGGTATATCGGATTTTATATCGGATTTTACTCCCCTTACAAAGTACATATTGCTTATACCAAATTTATCACAGTAAAGATAAAATATGGGCCCTGATCGAAGAAGTCCTCCAGTTTGAACTGCGATAGCGTCAGGTTAAGATATGCACTGCTTACCTTGTGAGTGACTTGGTGTGCGTGTTTATGACATTCAGTGCCTCCTTGAAACCCCCATTCTGAATAAGGCATACGATTTTACAGTGCAGTGCGGTCACATCATCCTTGTTTTCATGAAGAACTGCGGAAGAAAAGACCAGTATGAGAAAAATGCGCACACTTCCAAATATACTCACAACATGGAACAGGCATCTTCACAAAATGGAATGGCAAAAAGTGAGCAGTAAGTTACATAAACAGAAAAGGTTTAAATTTTTTAACTAGTACTTTGGCGGTACGTAAGTAAGAGGTGCTATGGAAAAGCATTTCATTTAATTACATATCTAATACAATGTTCTTTTGACAAGGAACCCCAGCACAGGTTGCACATCTTCTAAATCAGGTTATAAACTGACAACAGTAATCTTCGCAGAGTTGTGGCCTTCCAGGACCTGTTTTGAAAGCCAAGCTGTAATTTAACCGGAATCTATGTTTATTCCAGGGAAGCCAAGTTGCTGCAACACACCTGATTCAACTGATGAGTTCATGACCAGGTTTAAACAGTGATTCCACTTATTTTTCAAAACCTCTACCCAGTTAAAGCATTAAAAGGTAAACAAAGTCATTCAGATTGTTTTGATGTGAAACGTGTCTTTCTAGAAAAGCTTACCTCATCAGAATTGTTCACAGTGATAGTCATAAGAACCAGACATCAGAAGCATTTTAATGCTTTTAGAGCTCTTTTACAAAAAACTAATACACTAAATGGTTACAGATACACAGGCTGCGTCCAAAACTGCTTACGACCACACTGAACAGCATGTCAAAAATAGTACACCACCAAGTCCATTCATTAGTGTAGTACGTGTAGTGTAGTATAGTAGTATGTGGTTTTAGACACAGCCAATGTCTGATGCTTGAGACGCTGTTTCACGATAGTTTTACAAAGGTTTTGGATTTAAACACATTTTAATAAATGCATGGCAGAAGCCAGCTTTAAATACCTTAAAATGCTTCAGATATCTGGTTCCTATCAGCTCTACTGTGAACAAATCTGACTTCATAAGCTTCTCTAGAAAGGTGCATTTCACACCAAACCACTCTGAATGACTTTGTTTAGATCTCAATGACGGAATTATGCAGATTTTTGTTTCAAAATGGTAAAATTCCCCTTTAATAACAACAACTGTGAGCTCAGGAAAAGGACCAAACAGTGTTGGCCGTGGCCCCTACAGGATTGTTAGCTGGCTATCGTAGAATGTGGACGAAGTGACCAAGAAATCCAGCTATCTGTGCTGAAAGCTGTGTGAGTGGGCCAGCTGGGTCCTCTTCACTGCAAATCCTGATGGACACGTAATCATTCATTACACACACAACACAGGCATGCAGCGACCACTTAAAGACACAGTGAAGAAAATGAAACACGGTGAAGAAAATGCGACAGACAGCAGATTACTGTTTCTACACAACATGAACGACAGTTTTTGCTCAGTAAGGGAAAACTCATAATTCGCCAGCTAACCCTAGTTACCGTTGGCCAAGCGAGGTTAGCTTAGCAAGCCCCATGCTAACCAGCTAGCACAAATCAACTGAGTTATACCGTGCTGCATTTGTACCCAAATTTCAAGACAACAGGCGAAAGGGAAATGTCAAAAGTGTTTACTTTTGTTGACAGCCTTGAGAGCTCTGGCGAAGTCGCCATTCTGTCCGCAGCGGTTCACTTCGGTCCACAGCGCCGCTAGAGAGCCCGCACCGCCCGCCATCTTCTCCACTCACAGCGTGCAGGGACGGGCTGGAAGTGCCATAAGACTAGGGCGCGTTCCAAACGGACAACAAGGCTGCCTACGAAGTGAGCACTTCGAGGGTGCGTCTGCCGATTTAATGAGTCCTGTCTGTTAAACGAGAAAAAAAAACACCTATGATGATTTTTTGTATGTCAAAATATTAACTAACTATGTCTAAAAAATGACTCATTTTACTGAAACCGATCAGGCATAACATTATGACCACCTCCCTGTTTCTATGCTCATTGTCCATTTTATCAGCTCCGCTTACTATATAGGTGCACTTTGTAGTTCTACAGTTACAGACTGTAGTCCATCTGTTTCTCTGCATACTTTGTTAGCCCCCCTTTACCCTGTTCTTCAGTGGTCAGGACCCCCATGGACCCTCACAGAGCAGGTACTATTTGGGTGGTGGATCATTCTCAGCACTGCAGTAACACTGACGTGGTGGTGGTGTGTTAGTGGGTGTTGTGCTGGTACAAGTGGATCAGACACAGCAGTGCTGCAAATAGAGCTAAACTACCTTCTAAAAAGTACATTGTAAGTGGCAATCATTGGGGTCCAATCACTGGATGGGTTTTGCAGACGGGATAGTAAGCAAGTAAAACACAAAATAATGGGAGGAGTTTTTAGAATGGCCTCTATTAATAATACTTGTTGAGGAGTATGTAAAAGCAAATGTCTGCCAGATTTCACACACTTTGACATTTGACCTTGGTATGGTAAACAATGTGTTTATGATTGAGTCTAAATACCTGGGAAGTAGTGCAACCTTTGACATCCCTTTATACCAAATTCAATAATATTCAGACATATAATGAGATAATTATAGAGCTCTTTGAACTTGTAGGCATTTATTTGGCCCCCTGAACAAAAACTATGGCAAAAACTGTCATCACTGGTAATAAGGGGGCACTTGGAGTGTAGGTCTCAAATAGACAGTAACTGCCTACTTAGATAGTCCTCAGTGGTCACAACTGGAACAGGAAATGGTGCTGCATGCTTAGGCAACACTTACATTTGGTCACACCTCTGACTTCATAGGTTTAGCATTTTGTTTCAGAGTGTGAAGAGTGTGAAAAAAAATACTGCAGCATCAGTGCAGAAGAAGAAGTGGACAACATCGTGTATAAAGGCTTTTATTAGCGATAATTACAAAGACCAAAAATGCCCAGTCATCCAACACATGGAGGGGTAACACGAGAGGACATGATGTATGAGGAGGGTAGACACACACACACACACACAAAACCCACCATCCTCAGACACAATTTACACAAAACAACACAACTGCCCTGCTAACATCAGCAACAACAACAACTAAAGCAACGGTCCAGTATGGCACCTCCTGAGAGCCACTTAGCTTAGCCACACCTGCTATGCTCCCCACGGCTGCTCGGCCTGTGCCGGATGCCACAATACTGAATATAACAGTACTGAAAGACGTTCCACTGCAGTTTAGGAAATTGGTACTTTTGTACTTCTGCTCAGGTCCTTTTTGAAAAGGCACATTTACTTTTAATTCAGTCTTCACTAAATATTTCACTGAAGCAACAATATTTTACTCAAGCATGGGTTTAGGCTACTCTATATACAAAGTTGGGCAAAATACTTTAAAAAGCAGTGATGGCTGAATACTGAGCACTCTGCCATAAATGTATTCAGTAATGTGTTCTATTACAATCATTAAGTAGGGTATTCAGAATATATTTTGAATTAATTTAGAAGACATAATGATAAGGCATATGGGGAAAACTTTTTTTTCTAATTCACATGGATCCTCACTGTTACTGCTTTGGCAGTTTTGTTCCTGTAATTCCTCTGTTAATACGTGTCTCAAAGAATTCACTTATTATTTAAATGATGTTCTGAAATTCTCAAAATCTTTTCTTCTTCTGTCTACTGCTGCTCTAACAATCACCTGAGCAATACAACACTGAAGCTAAGCTTTTTTACATTCAAATATATCCTCTTCTGAGGAGATTATTAGTTTAATTTGATTTGATTAGTTTGTACCTCAAAAACATTTTGTAATGCTAAGATTGAAAACTTATCATCACATTGATTTATCAGTCTACTCAGGCTTTAGCAGAGCTCAGTAACACTGAGATCAATACCTGATCATCACAGTGATTTATCAGTCTACTCAGGCTTTAGCAGAGCTTGCTAACATTGAGATTGATGACTGATCACATTGATTTGTTAGTCTACTCAGGCTTTAGCAGGAAGATCAGTGTTTGTAAAGAAGCTATTAATTTAGGTCTTCTTTAATGTTCATCTAACAAGCTTGTTTGCTACATGCTACATTTTAAAATACTAATTAAACCAGTATTGATGGCATCATTTTTTTTTAAATGGTAAGTATTCTAAAAGTATTCCTCAAAAATTAAACTGTATTCTGCCTTTTCAAAATGTAACTTGGACTGAACATTTACTTTCTGAATTTTCCAAATTCTTCCCAATGTATTCCGTTATACCTCATATTTGAAATATTGTGATCCAATCTCACTCAGATAACTTATCGAGCATGCTTGAAATATTAAATAAAACATCTTGAAATACCTTTTGGTGTCTAGCTCAAAGTATTTCATGCTACACTGTTTGAGATAAAAGAGCACATATTCATTTTTTTGTATCATATTTTTTCTTCCTGAGGTCCACTTTTGACCTTTGAGTGGTTTCATGTACCAAAAATAGTCATAATTCATATTTACATGACCAACTTCTCACCCCCTAGACAAGCTGTTTTTGTTACTGTGCTTTTAAGACTGAGTTATGTAAATGATGCTCTGATTGGCTGTCCTGTGTTGTGCCTCATTCATAAATCAGTCCAGACTGAAACACTCCTTATAAGTTCAGTATAAATGTGCGAATTAAAAATGCATAATATAACATCACAAAAACAGTGAATTCAGAACTCAAAAATGAATTATGAACATAGTAACTTGGTAACTTTGAATAAGATTATTTTTAGCATATTTTGAGTTAAGGTAACTTTATTCAAATGTATTATATTCACTTTTTTATTTAGGTTTAAGCAAATACATACAGGCCAATAATGGCTTGTTTTTAAAGATTGTTCAAGATGCAGGCCCAATCCCATTTCTTTTTTTACCCCTGACCATTGTTTTCAAGTGTCATCTTGCCCCTTGGAACTGCGTTACAATGATATTTTTACAGTTTGGAAAGATGTGTTTACATTTTAAGCAAAGCTGGTATATTTTGTTATTACAGAGCAGTGCATTTCAGCTGTTAATGAAAAAAAAAAAAGGTCTTAGGGTGTAATTACTCTTTCGTAATTCATTTCTAAGGTATCCTCTGCAATGCTCTTAGCTCAAGAACAGGAGATGGAGGAAGCTCATCAACATCGATCAAGGAGAACGAGAACATCATCATCAGAGGAGTTAGACCATCAGACTCTCCACCTGAACCACCAGCATGAGAGAACTATCAACGAAACATATTTAAAGTACATAGGTTCAGATCAGGGGCATCAGTAGAGGTGGAGTAGAGTATGGATAGGGGGCTAAGCCTTTACTAAGGGGGTCTGGGGGCCTGCTCCCCCAGGAGGATGATTTTTTAATGGTCCCAAAGTGTCTGTTCATCACTTTCATATTAGTAATTAGCTGGAAAAATGGCCCATTTGTCAACCTAGCACACAGAAGATCTGTTTCTTCATAGAGTATTAAGCACAGATCTTTTGCAACTTAAATACTATATCTCTCCACCTAGAAACACAGATATTTTAAAGTCAAGCAATGCAAATCCTTTCTTAAGCTGCAGATTCTATAAATGTTATTCAAATAGACGGATTATAAACCTTATAACATCAACTTAGTATGCCATTTTTGAGAAACAGATTAAATTATGTTCAGTAATTACAATTGTAATAGTCTACACATTTATTACAAAGGATAACCGGAAGTGAGCTGTTACATAATGTAATGATACTTCCTCTTTTCGCCCTCATTTTAGATCCATAAATTGTTTCAGAATCTCATGGTCTGAGTGGAGGCTGTGTGTGACTGAAGGACTGCTTTATGCTTCTGTTCTCTGGACTTAATTAGAATGCTGGTCTTTGGAATTGTGATGATGTTCACAGGAGCTTCCATGGGTGAGTTTCTTCCAGTAGCATTGCTCATTTTTATGATTTTATGCTTGTAGAGTTTGTGTTGATTGATGACACTGGTGTAAATGAAGTTTGATAAGATGATTCTTTTCAAAATGGTAAAATAGTACATTTTTTATATAAAATCTGCACCTATCTATAATTTTTATCCTGGTGCTCTTATGCACATTTGATCTTTGGCAAGAAACAATGATGCAGTTTTCTTTCTGGAATGACACTAATCTGTATTAATCTGTGGGAGCTGCGATTTGTGATTTGTTAAATAGCATCGCTGGTGGAATAAAACCACATATTTAGATCACTTTACAGAACAAGGAACAAGTTTTTTAACTTGCAATGGAAGTTAATGGAACCAGACTTCTTAGTAAGTAATTTTGGACTATTTCTATTGGTCTGTTCATCATTAAATTTTAATTTAACAGTGCAAAAGGGTAACCAGAGTTTTCACATTATGCAAAAAAGTAAAAAAAAACAAAAACAAAAACAACAGAAATAGAAATGCAAGGTTTTTTGTGTGACAGTGAGGATTTTTTATTTTTATCAAGGTAAAAAGTCATAACATCATTATTATTTTCAGAAAAGAGTAATAAAACTTATAATAATACTTACAATATCCAAAACAAACAATAGCCACAGTTATGATCACAGTGATCATAGCTGTCATACTGAATGCATTTAACATCAGTATCATTTCCAGTTTATCAGTATTGTTTTCATCATAAGTTAAAAATAGTGAAACATAGAATAGTCTCTGGGAGAAAGTGCAGATGAAGACCAAAAGACTGTGGAAAGTGTAGGAACTGGGACCAAGTCTAGCTTTCCACTATTGCACAAGAGTGAGAGCAGAATGCAGAACTACACAAGATAATTTTGAAGGTCTAAAAAAGTTTCTCCAATTAATTGGAGATTTTTTCTCCAAAAAATTTCCAATTAAAGCCTCAATATATTTTGATGAATAGAATAGAATATTTTGTTTAGTTACAGTCAGTAATTTCAAGAGTAACTACACCCCACTATTTTTAACTAACTCCTCCTGGCTCAACTTTAAAAAATGCTCAAAAATGGGGCATGCTGGGAGGGACGCTGCAGTGATCTATGGATTTGGAGGTGGGGCTGTGAAGGAAACCGGGCAGGCTGGGCTGCTATGCTTTTATAGCTAACATGAGCTACCAGAAAATATGGAGAGTGACAGAATCAAACGGCACTTTTGCAACTGAGAGTCTTAGGAGGTTGACAATTTTTCTCTACTGCCATCCCCATCTTCGACGAGGGAAGGTGTTTCTGATCAGCCAATCCGTTTTGGGCCTTAACAGTATGAGCCACTGACTCAAGCCGCTGAAGAGTTAATGTAGAAAATGATTAACAGCAAGTGGGAGAGGCGTCCAAATGGTAGAACATTCCCTAAAACCGTGCCAGCTAGCTTCAAATGATCTGTTCAGCAGGTCAATATTCGATATAATTTGTCCTGATTTCTTAGATGTACTGAATTTTGAATAAACAAAGTGGATTTCTTTAATCATTGTCTAAGCTTCATTCATTTTGACATCGAGCTATGAAAAACAGACTTCTATTGGGCCATTAGGGTACCATTTCTTTTTATACAGGTGCACTTGTGGGCACTTGTGGTGGTTGAGTTATTTTAAAAGTTAATACAGAAAAAAAGCTAACCCAACCTTTGTAGCCTAAGCTAGTTAGCTTGTGCTCGCCGTTCTCTAGCATTACCCCTAGCTTTTAGCATACTGTCTGTTTGATTCCAAGCACAGATGTATAACAGGGAGACTGTATCGTACCATACAGGTTGTTCACAGATGTCAGCAGGTTGGGGTTGCAGACTGCATCACTGGTCAGCCAGGGTTTGCTGCAGTGGCCCTAAATCTTTACGTTCTGCAAGCTGTTCATGGCACATATCAGCAACTATATGGAGACTTGCAAGAATCCTCACTTAATCAGCCCATCAGTTTACCTAATCATACCTTAAACATTATCAATATAAGGCTAGTTAAGTCTAAAAGGCTAAAAACTATAATATATACACATAAAATAACTAAGAATTACCAATAATAACTAACTACAACAGTAAATAACACGCTAAATGTGATTAAACAATATGTATGGAAAAACATCCAAAGCAGTGCCGATGTTCTCCCTCACTCTAGGATCATACGGTTTCATATTTATGTGCACAGCACAAACAGAGCCATCTCTCTACATGGCTCTGGGCACTTTGGTACGATGACACATCATTTGCGCCTATAGCAGAGTTGAACCAGAGGGGCACTTCAGAGGCAGAACTGACTGCGATAAAAATGATATTTTTACAGTTTGGAAAGATGTGTTCACATTTCAAGCAAGGCTGTCGTATATTATTATTACAGAACAATGCATTTCAGCTATTAATGAAAAAAAAAAAGTCATAGGGTGTAGTTACTCTCTAAAAGTGATGGTTGCCAAGCACATGAAATAGTCTTGATGCCTATTAGGAGCTGGTAAGCAGAATACACCGATCAGGCATAACGCTCGTTGTCCATTTTATCAGCTCCACTTACTATATAGGTGCACTTTGTAGTTCTACAATTACAGACTGTAGTCCATCTGTTTCTCTGCATACTTTGTTAGCCTCCTTTTACCCTGTTCTTCAATGGTCAGGACCCTCATGGACCCTCACAGAGCAGGTACTTTTTGGGTGGTGGATCATTCTCAGCACTGCAGTGACACTGACGTGGTGGTGGTGTGTTAGTGTGTGTTGTGCTGGTCTGAGTGGAACAGACACAGCAGTGCTGCTGGAGTTTTTAAACACCTCAGTGTCACTGCTGGACTGAGTATAGTCCACCAACCAAAAATATCCAGCCAACAGCGTCCTGTGGGCAGCGTCCTGTGACCAGCAATGAAGGACTAGAGGATGATTAGCTCATACTGTACAGTAAGAGATGAGCTATCGTCTCTGGCTTTACATCTGCAGGGTGGACCAACAACGCAGGTGTGCTTAATAGAGTGGACAGTGAGTGGACACAGTGTTTAAAAACTCCAGCAGTACTGCTGTGTCTGATCCACTCGTACCAGCACAACACACACTAACACACCACCAACACATCAGTGTTATGATCCACTGCCCAAATAGTACCTGCTCTGTGAGGGTCCACGGGGGTCCTGACCACTGAAGAACAGGGTAAAAGGGGGCTAACAAAGTATTCAGAGAAACAGATGAACTACAGTCTGTAATTGTAGAACTACAAAGTGCACCTATATTAAATGATTAAATGGACTATGGTATGCCTAATTAGTGTATATTCTAATGTTTTTAGCTAAAACATCAGTTGATTCAGTGGTTGAGCTGTTCTGTTTCAGTGAATATTTGTTATAGACTGCATAAATATTTATATTTAAATTATTTGGAATCTTTGTTTTTCTCATAACTTCTTTTGGAGATTTCAGACATTTAAACAGGATCTTTGAGTTGAATCAACTTATTGCAGTTTTGTTAAAACTTTTTCAGCTTTACTTGATAAATGTTTGGCCAATGCAACCTCCTTAAATAAAGCTCACATCATTCCTATTTGTTCTTGGTACCATATATGTGAATATTGGGCATGTCTTTCCACCTTGTTTACCCTACCATCTGTGTGTTGTCATTCTCACCCTACCTTCTCTAGTGTGGCTACTTGCTTTCTAAACTTTTGTAATATATCTCACTCAGTGCTGCTGACTGAGAATTACTCAACTGCACTCAACAAAATGAACAGTTATTTACTCAGTTTACTCAGTGTATACAACAATAATACACTGCCTCTTTGTTTGTGTCCATAAACATTGTGCTGTCACTTTGTTTATTTGCCCATATATATTGCATATTGCACTGTCACTTTATTATTTATCTTTACTTTCTATTTATGCATCTGTAAATCGCATAAGGCAATACTTTGCTCCTGTTTTGCTCTTGTTTTGCTCTTTATTGTGCTTTGTACTGCTGCAATAGAAGACTTTCCCTCTGGGATCAATAAAGTGATCTATCTAAACATATGTTTTGTTCATACTCAGTTCAGGTGATGGCTTATGGTCAAATGATATGAGTTACTTAAACTGAGTTGACTTGACTCATCAGGTTTTACAGTGCATGACTAAAGAAAAAAAAAACAAAACATTTTAGTCCAAAACCTAAAACATTTGTAAAAGAATGTGTCAGACATCAGACTACAAATTCATAACCATTTCCTATAGTAACTTTCTGTGAGGGAGCTTTTAGGGGCATCACAATTTTTCAGATGTCTGGTTCCTATCACCACCATTGTGAACAATTCTCACTCTGTAAGTTTCTCTAGAACGGAGCATTTCACACCAAACCACTCTGAATGACTTTGTTTATGGAGAAATTTCGAATTTTGCAATTCCTCTTTTACATTGACTTTGCCTGCAATGTTTCTTTTTACAGTGAAATTAAAATATTGCTTGTTAAAATAATATAGACATCTTAAATTCTGCAGCAATTCACTCATTTACACATTTGTTCCTTCGCTGAAAACTGTAACTCAGTGTTTAATCTCAGCTCTCTGGTAAAAAAACAGGCTGTTTAAAGTGTGTTAGAGGTGAATACAGTAGACGACTCTTCACTGTATCAGATTAATGACAGAATGTTCTTGCTGTTCTTCCTCTGCAGGTTTGCTGTTCATGAACCCTGTTTGTAGATTTACTCAGAGTGATCCATGTTATGGAGCTGTGGGACGACCACTGTACCTGCAGCTGGAATCTGAGGATGAATTAGACTTAAAAAAGAGCTTCAGTGGAACTTCTTCTGTTCCCATTTTGAAATTTAAAAACCAAAGAACCACAATATATCATTTAGATTATCCAAGATGGCAGTTTGTCACTGATAACAGAACCATGATAATAAGCAGTGCAGAGAAAAGAGACTCAGGAAAATACATATTAGATACATTTGATTCAAGCAGATCAAGAGTCACATATTTTCTCCAGCTGATTATTGAAGGTAGGTCTGCACAACCTCTATACATCACACAGCTACAAAATAAGCATCTCTACAATACTTTGAAAATGAACTCATACAATTCCTAATTTTTTTTTGGTCAATTAAAACCACAATATGAGTTTAGAGCCAGTGTTTACAAACTGAAAGCACTAAAAATGTTGACTTTTCAAATATATTTGCATTTGTTTTCCAGATTTTTTCTAAATATCATTGTAACTTTAGTGGCATATTCAGCTACAGTCAAGACTAGATTTTGCTGTAATCTAGGTTTAACTGTAATCTAGACTGAGCTGTCACATAGATTGAGCTATAATCTAAATTTTAATTAATCTAGACTGAGCTGTCACATAGATTGAGCTATAATCTAAATTTTAATTAATCTAGACTGAGCTGTAATCTATAGTGAAGTGTAATCTCAACTAAAATTTAACATAGATTTAGTTGTAGTCTAGGTTTAACTGTAATCTAGTCTAAGATGAACTCTAATGTGACAACAGTAATCAAGATTTAGCTGTGATCTTGGCTGAACTGTAATCTGGACTGAACTATAATCAATCTCTGACTGAACCGGAATCTAGACTGAGCTGTAATATAGATTGTGCTCAGGGATGGGAGAGTAGCTGAGTAGCGTGCTACTTTTTGTAGCTAACTACAATTTTTTGTAGCTAATAGCTGTAGCCACTACAGTTTTATGAATGTAGCTAATAGATGTAGTGGCTACAAATTTTTGTGTAGGTGTAGCGAAAATTTTTCCTTACAATTTCACTACAGGCTTCAGGCAATCCGCATGAAATTTGAGCCATAGAACGCGGTCGTTAACTGGGCTGCTGGCGACTGTGCAATCTTGACTGAGCCGTGGACAGTTCGAGCAAATGGGCACGCACTTATCACCCCTTAGTGGCAGGCTTAGCTCAGGTCGGCAACCCAAATGTTAAGAAGAGCCATTTTGTCCTTTCAAAAAATGAGACCACCTTGGGAGCCACAACATGTTATAGCCGTTTTCCCATCATGGCTGTAAATATGTCTCAGTATGTGCTGATGTGCTAGTATAGGATAAAAAAATATAATATAAACACAAACGCAGACTTACTTTGCTCTGCTTTAAGCTTTAGCTCAGCTATAGCTGCTTTTCTCGCACCTCAGTCAGGAAAATTTTCCTCAAGTTTCTTGTAAAATGTCTCTCAAAGTTAGACTTTTTACAAGGCTGAAGTCGCTTCTCATTCGCCAGCTTTTCGTTCGAAGGCGGAACGGGAAGATGCGAGCAAGAAGCCGGGGAATGAGAAGCATTCGCGAGTTGTTGCAGATTAAACGTATGAGGAAACCAGCTGAGAGCTTATAAATGCAAATAAGTCCATTCATCTCCAAATTATCGATGTTCATCTTAAATCTCTCTCTTTGCCATTTTGTTGTCTGCGTTGCTGTGTGACCAGCAGCCTGCGTGTCAGTCTTCAGCGTTTAAGGTTGGTGAATTAGCAGTTCTGCGTTAACTCCAGCGTTTAAGACCATTTACTGTGAAAACTTTTAGAACTGTGTGAACTGTTATAACGATTTTACAGCAAAGGAGGATTCTGTTGTTTTACCTAAAATGTAGTTCTGCTGTAGAGCTGCAGCAGCTCTGCATCAGTGGAGAGATTATTCAGGCCTGATTCTCACCCCAAACAGAGCCAGGGTCACTGATGAGGATTTTGAGTCTAAAATGTTGCTGAAGTTTAATAAAGACTCTGAATGTCATATCTGTACAGATCTTGCTGAAATGTTTAAATTGGAGCAATTTTATTGGCTATTCCACGTGCGAACGCAGTAAGCCTAACAGTTACCAACAGTTTTTCAAGATTACCAAGTGAGTGAAAATAAAATGAACTGAACAAAGGCACAACGAACTGAGACACAAAACAAAAATAAATTAAATCCCCGTTATAAGACCGGAAATCTGATAGGCAAAGCTAGGGCGGGGAAAAGGGTTTTCATGCTCAATGTCTGCATCTCTTTCATCACAAAATAACTTCACAGAGATTCTAAACAGTGTTACCACTTAAGTAATAGAATATTATACGCATACAAAACTGTTTCAGTAGTAATTATTACAAGAAACTAATGAGCTTACAGATAATTACATCTAAAAGTATTCTAATTTCACACTACGGTTACTGTTATATTGAACATATTTTACATCAGTTTATTTCCTAGTTATCAGTATCATTTTCAATATTATTTAAAACAGTGAAAGAAGGTAATCTCTGTCACTTTGAAATAGAAGGTCAAAATACTGTGTTGGAACTGGGACAAAGTTTAGCTTTCCACTATTACACAAGAGTGAGAGCAGAATGCAGAAGTACACAAGAAAATATTGGAAGTCTAAAAAAAGGCTATTGCTGATTTGGAAAGAGGCTGTCAGATATCATGATATCATTTAATACATAGCTGTCAGTTATTCCCATTTTTAATCTAATTTAGGCCTCAGTAGATTTTGTTAAATAGAATAGAATAGAATATTTTGCTTAGTTATAGTCAGTAATGACAAATCAAATAAACTCTGACCTGCCCTGACTGTATGTTACACATGTGGTTTTGAACACTTCTTTGCAGCACTGATTATTTGTTGACTTATACAACAACGAAAATCCTTCTTGTTTTTGCTTAATTGTCATTGCTTTTATCATTATTAAAGTATTTTGCTATGTATACAAGGGGGAAATAATTGTATTCAATAATTCCTTTTTTATTTAAACATATTTTTAATGCAGCTTTCACATGAAATTTAGATCAGACAGTATTATTAACTCAATTAAACTACACAGCTAAAGGAATCCTAACATTCCAATCCATAAAAAATGTATGTGCAATAAGGTGAAAAGAACTGAACATGCTGAAGTTTATTTAATACCTGGTGGGGAACAGGAGCGGACTGACCATTGGGAAGTTAGGGAATTTTCCCCATGGGCTTGTCTTGTGGGGGCTGCTCTTGTAGGAGAACTCATTAGAGGATTCAGCTAGTTCATTGCTTGTTCTTGCTATGTCAGTGAGTGCGTTTACATGCAAGCAATAATCTGATCAAAACTGGATTTCTGCTGTTATCTGATTATTTACATGTTCATGTACATGTTCATGCTCTAATTTCTTAGATCAGAGATAAGTCTGAAAATCTGATAAAGAGAGCTCAGTAATCAGGTTTCTTGGCACATGTAAACTCTTACTCTGATTTCTTTCCTATCTCTTAGTCTGCGCATGTGTGAAAACAGACTGTGGAACCGGAAAAAGCAAGCAGTGTTTAACACAGCTCCCATATTATTGCAACAAAACAGTTTTGGAGCACCGCTAAAACTGACTATGTGCTTGACAAAATGATTTAAATATTCTTCATCTTATACATGACGTATGTTAATATTTTCAGGTAAAGTGGCACAATGTTCTACGTTTTACATTACGTTTACATCACGTCTTCTTCTGTGAGTTTATTGGCTGGTTGCAAAGCAGAAATCTGATTACTGCCTGACTCATGTAGACCAGGAGTTTCCCATTGTCTGATTACTCAAGTGTATGTAGATGGGATTACTAAGAAAAAACGATTTTCTACAGTTACCGAATTATTACGTGCATGTAAACACACTCAGTGTTACAGTTTCTTTAGCTGTATAGATTTATAGAGTTAATATCAATGTTTGGTTTTAATTTAATGTAAATAACTGCACTGGAAATATGTTTAATTAAAAAATATTTTGATGTGTTGAACACTTATTTCCCCCAGTGAATATCGGACTAAGAATTGCGACACACTGGAAACAAAAAAATGCTTGTTAATAGTGTAATATGTATAATAATAATATTTTTTTGGTTTTGCATCTTGGTAATTACATATAAAACATTAGACATACATATGATAATTCTAATTGTATGTGTACTTTGTTCACCTAGTAATTAGCTTGATTTGCTGTATGCAGGCTATAACCTCCCAACATTAGTCCCCCCAACTTGCCAGACCAAATTTACACCCCTGTTAATCACACTAGTCTGTCACAAGTAAAGCTTCAAGCTTATTTCGTCCAAGAATTTCAGACTGATTTTAGGGGGGAATTCCATCACTTTCTCATAATGCTGCATAATTCAGTATTTTGGGATGTAAACAAATTCATGATGGTGTGATGTGGAATGGCTCATTGTACAGAAACTTACCTACTCAGATTTCTTTAGAGTGGTGATGATAGGAACCAGGGCTCACAATGTCTACAATGCAAATATAGCCATTTTATTTACTATCCAAAACGACCAGTGAACCTTTTTAAATGTAACTGGTGATGGTAAAATAGTGGAAAATCTGATTTCTTTGGTGACTATTTTGCCATATAAGCACAATGATTGGCAGGCTGTTTATTCCATGTATTAGTCCTAGTTACCTATGTTAAAAGTGATGGTCGCCAAGCACATGAAACAGTCTTGATGCCTATCCACTGTAAAAAAAAAAGATTCAGTGTTTAAACTCAAAAAAGTAAGTAGCCTTGTTGCCTTAAAATTTTGAGTTCATTAAGCATCTAATAGTAAGTTAACCCTCTATTGCACGATGTTGCCTCAGGGCAACAAACTCATTTTCCTCACTTTACAATGATGTTATACATATATAAAGACAACCAAAGCGTTAACAATAAAGGAAAGAGTTTGAGTATGTCAATAAAAAGCATGTGCTTAGTCATACCATCTCATAGTGGGCACATTTAAACCCCTTTTTTTTAACGTTCAGTATCAATTTTTTTGTTATGAGAATTTGCTGAAAAATGTTTGTTGCCTAGAAGCAACATTGTGCAAAAGTGGAATGGATTTAGCCAGTCACAAGCCAGGTCTCACCACTTCAGGGAACACAGCTCTATATGATTTCTTCTTATTGCCGCACTTCAAAGGACCCCTGCACACATCTTTTTATTTTTTAATGTTTTGAATTTAGTAATTGAGTCTGAAAAAATAAATCAAGAATCATTTTATTCATAAAAAGTGAAATGAATTTTTTTTTAATTGCCTTCATATTGTGTGCAGTAGTGGGTTAACAGGACAATTATCTGTGTTTTACATTCTTTTAACTTATTATTTGAAGTTCAGTGAACTCAAAATTTTAAGGCAACCACGTTACTTACTTTTTAAAATAAAACACAATATAATTTTTTTACAGAGCAGGACTAGCTGGTAAGCAGAATATATTCTAATGTTTTTAACTAAAACATCAGTGGATTCGGTGGTTGAGCTGTTGGAGTGTTCTGTTTCAGTGAATGTATGTGATAGACTGCAAAAATGTAAAGGAATGTGTCAGACATCAGACTGCAAATTTATACCATTTTCTATAGTAACTTTCTGTGAGGGAGCTTTTAGGGCCATCACAATTTTTCAGATGTCTGGTTCCTATCACCACCATTGTGAACAATTCTCACTCTGTAAGTTTCTCTAGAATGGAGCATTTTACACCAAACCACTCTGAATGACTTCGTTTATGGAGAAATTTAGAATTTTGAAATTCCCTGTTTATGTTGACTTTGCATGCAGTGTCTTTTTTTTTTTTACAGCGAAATTAAAATATTTCTTTTTTAAACAAATTAGACATGTAAAGTTCTGCAGCATATTTGTTATATGCCTTTTGTCTTCTCCCCAAAAACATTCTTCACTGAAAACTGTCACTCAGTGTTTAATCTCAGCTCTCTGGTAAAAACAGGCTGTTTAAAGTGTGTTAGAGGTGAATACAGTTGACGACGCTTCACTGTATCAGATTAATGACAGAATGTTCTTGCTGTTCTTCCTCTGCAGGTTTGCTGTTCATGAACCCTGTTTGTAGATTTACTCAGAATGATCCATGTTATGGAGCTGAGGGACGACCACTGTACCTGCAGCTGGAATCTCAGGATCAATTAGACTTAAAAAAGAGCTTCAGTGGAACTTCTTCTGTTCCCATTTTGAGATTTAAAAACCAAAGAACCACAAAATATCATTTAGATGATCCAAGATGGCAGTTTGTCACTGATAACAGAACCATGATAATAAGCAGTGCAGAGAAAAGAGACTCAGGAAGATACATTTTAGATACATTTGATTCAGACGGGGGATCTGAAAAGGCACCTATTTTCTCCAGCTGATTATTGAAGGTAGGTCTGCACAACCTCTATACATCACACAGCTACAAAATAAGCATCTCTACAATACTTCGAAAATGAACTCATACAATTCCTAATGTTTTTTGGTCAATTAAAACCACAATATGAGTTTAGAGCCAGTGTTTACAAACTGAAAGCACTAAAAATGTTGACTTTTCAAATATATTTGCATTTGTTTTCCAGATTTTTTCTAAATATCATTGTAACTTTAGTGGCATATTCAGCTGCAGTCAAGACTAGATTTTGCTGTAATCTAGGTTTAACTGTAATCTAGACTGAGCTGTCATATAGATTGAGCTGTAATCTAGGTTTTAATTTATCTAGACTGAGCTGTAATCTATGGTGAAGTGTAATCCCAACTGACCCTTAACATAGATTTAGTTGTAGCCTAGGTTTAATTGTAATCTATTCAAAAATGAACATGAAAATGACAACAGTAATCTAAAGGTGTAAATTAGCTGAGATCTTGGCTGAACTGTAAACTGGATTGAGCTATAATCTATAGTTCAATCTCTGGACTGAACCAGAATCTAGACTGAGCTGTAATATAGATTGTGCTGTAATCTAAACTAAGATGTAATGTAGACTAGCTGTAGTCTAGATTGCACTGTAATCTAGAATGAGCTGTAAACTGTAGCTACTTGCCACTACAAAGTAGATATTGGTTTTACACAGACCTAATCATTCTGTAAATCACATACACACAAAACAAGGACAGTTAACTACAAAAAGATGTAGTTAACTGTCAGTCTCAGTAAACACATACTTAAGTATCAACACCTGCATTAGACATGAATAAGTATCACCACCAAGTTATGCTAAACTACAAACAAAGTAGTCATTCTGTCAGTGCTGTATTGTATTATGACCAATCAAAAATCATTACGCTCTTCACCTCATTCTCCAAACAGCTTAGAATCTGCCTAATCTTATTTTCTCAACCCTCCAGTCAGTGTGTAGTGGGACAAGGCCATTTAAACCACTTATTTCCCCACTTTCTCATAAATAATTAGATTTATCTCAGGTTAGGGGTTTTCCTGTTGACTGTGATCTATTCTGATCAAATTGTGATAAATACACACAGAACCAAAAGAGATAGCTTAAAAATGTCATTTATTGATACATATCGCTGTTGTTGGAAGAAAACCTCTTATCTCCATTTCTGACGTTTTTGAATTTTTGACTTAATATGAAAATGCCTTTTGCCCTTTACATTGTGTGTAAATTTCATAATGAATTGACAAAAAGAAATGACCCAAAATGACTTGGGAAAAAGTCTGGTTCCATTGACTTATATCCTTCTCCTGTAAAGTTGCCATTTTGGAGATATGAGGTTTTCTTCTGACAACAGCGATATATAGATACTAATACTAGATTAATTGGTATCCAGAAAAAACTAGAGACATGCAATCAACTGGATGAACATACTGTACTTAGCTGAGACCCAGAAATAGTTATTTTATGGCATTTGAGCAGTACACAGCGCAGAATATTATTGCTAGCATAACAAATGACCTAAGTTTAGATAAAAAGCTGACAGAGTAACACAGCTGAGACTGCACTATATAGTCGAAGAAGTGAGAGTGTGAACCTTACAGTTTCAGAGAGAGAGCCGTGGTGATGCATGTACCACATTGAGAAGGGTATGTGGATCAAAGGGGTGAGGCAGCTGAAGAGGTAAACTTTGTGAGTGTCGCATCTGACCGGACCTTGATGGGTGAGGCAGGCTACCAGCTGGCTCGTGTTGGCCTCTGGTGAGGAAGGCAGGCTCTTGGCTGGCGAGATCAGGCTGCAGAATGCTTCACAATGGCCACTGAGGCTGGCTTTGGTGATGACTTGTCGACGCTGTTTACTTCTGTCCAAAATTCTTAAACTATGCTTGCAGATTTCACAATGACCTATTGTTGCCGATCAAACTTTCAAAATGAATTGACGAAACTTAAAAACAGACGCAGCTAAGGTTGGCTATTCAACGTGCGAATGCAGTAAGCCTTACAGTTACCAACACTTTTTCAAGATTACCAAGTCAGTTAAAACAAAACAAACTGAACAAAGACACAACGAACTGAGACATGAAACAAAAATAAACTAAAATCTGATTTAATTTTGGAGAGGGCTTCTTGTCGTTTCTTCAGCATTACACGGTCCTTCTGTCTCTCTATTCCTTGCTGACTGACTGTCTCCCAATTATATGACAGGAACTCTGATGGGTGGAGCTAAGGAGGGAAAAGGGTTTTCACACTCAATTCCTAATTAATATGCAATTTCTTTGTCTGTGTGTCTGCTCAATTTTTGTCAGAAAATAACTTTACAAAGATTCTGAGTGGTGTTACCAGTTAAGTAAAAGAACATTATACGCATGCAATTTCATATATAAAACATTACTGTTTCAATAGTAACTATTACAGGAAACTATTGAGCTTACAGATTGTTAAATGTAAAAGTATTACTAAGTATTGCAAGTATACCTGATTACCAAGGAAAGGAAATGAGATTTCCAAAATAAGAACAAATTTCAGAAGTTAGTATCAATCAACACTAACATTTCTAAAACAATGATTAAGTGAAAAGTTACACAGGACAAAGTGAAATAAAGGCTGAGTACATTATCTAGTCATTATGAATATCTGTGTAGATATGATGGCAGAAGCTATTATGCTTGAAGTATATATATTCACACAAGTTACAAACTTGTAAGTTACTTACACAGTTCTACGTCTAAAGAAAAACAACATGAAGAGTTGAAAAGAAATGAGGTTATCATATGATTCAAAGGAACATATGGATTTAACAAACCTTTTATTATTTCTAGGAAAACAATTAAATGGAAAAAAAAAAATTACAATGTTCAAAGCTCCATAATAATTTCGATTAATAAAACTGGGTTGCAATTCAAGAATCATGCAATGTTTATCAACTGTACAGAATCTTATAAGGCTGTTTTTCAGTTTTGCTCGGTTGGTGTGTAATTACAGATACTACGACCATGACTCCCACTACAACCCTGAAGCCCAAAGTAACCCTGTGGATGCAGTCCGGCAGTAGTACAAGTCTCGCAGTAACTGATTTTGAGGCTCAGACCCAGACACATAATTGCAGGCCTCAAGACTCAGTTACTCTCAGTTTTTATCGTAAGTAAATAGCTTAATAAAGACTACACTGAAAGAAAAGTGTCAAAAGCAAATCATGAAAAACATGTACTTGAGTCAACCAATATTATCTATATACCGAGACATTATATTTAATATGATTTTGTACAGTAAGAATAAAAAGATTTTGTGCTATAAATTATTGTATTGTAGATATTGTATTGTAAATCAAAGTCTTTGGGGCATGTGGAGTCCCAGGGGTCCCCAAATCAAAGTCTCTGGGGCATGTGGAGTCCCAGCCTGTCCACCGTCCTGGCCGGCACAAGTGTTGTGGGGGTGCCTGCTTCTCGGCAGTGGGCGGACACAGTTCTCTCTCGGGGCTGTGTCCTTGGCACGGCTGCTCCTTGGCATACCCTGCTCCGGGTGTGCTGTCCTCTTCTGCCCCTGGTGGGCAGCTGAATACCAGCTCCTTGAATGTCCTCTCCATCAGTGTGCTGGAGCAGAGAGACTAAGCACCGCGTCCTTCTCCTGAGCGTGGTGGAACTCTCCACAGCTCACATCATCAAGTCTGGTGCCATTAGGGGTGCCGACATCAGCAGCGGCCCTCCTCTCAGCCACCTTCTGCTTTATCCGTCATCCACTGTGTCATCGATGCAGGTGAGAGTACTGCTCATGTATGCTGCCCACAGCCCTCGGGGATCCATCTACTGCATGGCACTGCATGTCCAGCATTGGTGGCTTCACCCACGAAAAGCCTAGTGGCCTTGACCTGACAGCATTCCCCACTCCCAGAGATCCACCAAACAGCTCTGACGCTGTGTCTTCAGCTTCTCCCGAGTTGGCGGCTTCCCCCATGAGGAATTAAAGCCACACTACGAGTCAGTCCTGACTCTCTGCCTCAGCTCCACCACTAGCTGCTGCAACCAACATCACTTGTCCTGTCTCCAAGCCCAGCATTTACTTCACAAGGTCAAGCATGGCTCTCACCATGCTGTTTACTTCACTGCCTTCCCCAGCCAACCGCTTCACTCTCAGTTGACTGGACCCATCCATGAAGGGGAAGGCATAGCGCTTGGTATCTTTTCCTCTGTGCAATGTCTTTTTTCACTGTCCACCTTCAGGTTCATTGATGCATCACTCAATTTCTACAAACTTGGAGGCTGCCTCCTGCTTCCAGCACCAATGTAGAAGATGCAGAAAACATTACGCATACAGGCAAATGCTCTTTTATTTTAAACAGGCATTTCAAGAGGCAAGAAGAAATGCTCAGTCCAGTGCTACTTGCACACGAAATATAGAGAGGGGGTAATGTGGGAAGACACAACATCCAAGGAGGGTAGAAACTTCAAAGCAATTGTTAGACTACAAAGCCCAGCATCCTTGGACACAATTACTCTAATGAATGCATCTACACATTAACAACAACAACAAATGTCTCCTTTTACACCGGGAGTGTGGCACCTCCCAAGAGCCATCTTGCATGGCCCCACCCCCTAAGCTCCTCACAGTGACGCGGCCTGTGATGGACACCGCATTATGTTATGGGCTTAATATAATTTTTCTATTGATTTGCCGTGTTTGCAAAAAACGTGCTTCATTAAATAAATAAAGTGATTTTATGATGCATTAAATTGTAAAAAAAAACAAATACATAAAAAAATGGTAGACTGATAAGGGCCCACCAAAGTTTTGTGACCAAAAACCAACAGCCATCCCAACACACTGATAAAAAGCAAAGTCTGGACGTGCAGAATTGAACAAATTGTCGGGGTAAACAAGTCATCTCCCTCCATGCCCTTAAATTCCTATGGCCTGCAATAAGATATCTGGCTTCCTAGAAGGAATGCTAAAAAATAATCAAAACACTGGCAACAAAAATTCAGCCAAACACTTGTAGTTTTTAAAAAAGTTCACCTCATCTTTAAGGTACGTCATCAGGAGGGGGGTTCCAGGTCTTTAAACTGGTAAGTGTCTGTACAGAGACTGCCACAGCACGCTGTAGG